AGAGGAGCAGGAAAGTTGACGTTTCAGGTCAGGACCCTTCTTCAGAAATTTTGTCCCGACCTGGAAACGTCACCTTTCCTGCTCCTCTGATGCTGCCTGGCCTGCTGTGTTATCCCTGACTCCAGCATCTGCAGTTCTTACTATCTCTGGAACAGCCTTGTTCAGACATTTAGTTTATCTTTCTGTCTGTGACCCTGTAAATTCTTCATTTACCACCATCCTTTTAAAGAATCCCCATTGAGTCCAAACTGACCTTCTGAAGAACATCCCACCCAGACCCCCCCTCTGTATCCTATCCTGTAATCCTGCATTTCAACATGGCTAATCCACCTAACCTGCACATCCCTGGAAACTATGGGGAATTTAGCATGGCCAATCCGCCCTAATCTGCACATCCCTGGACTGTGGGAGGAAACAGGAGCACCCGGAGGAAACCCACGCAGACACGGAGAGAATGTGTAAACTCCACACATGAGGGTGGAATCGAACCCAGGTCCCTGGTGCTGTGAAGCAGCGGTGCTAACCACTGAGTCCTTTGGGTTCCAGATGAGTTTTTCCCAACAATCTACAATGAATCCGCAGTGATCATTAGACTCTTAATTATGGATTTTTATTGAACTCAAAATCCACCATCTGCCATGGTGGGATTTGAACCCGGGTCCCCAGAATATTACCTGGGCCTCTGGATTAACAGCCCAGTTGGCTCCCCCTTTTCAGTTTCAATCTTCTCAGTTAGGTCACAGCTCATGGTAACACTCGACGTGTAATATCCCAGAGCAAAGCTTGGCTTGGTCTACTCAAACTTTTTATTTTAAAATGTGGAAGTCAGTTTCTGAACACGTTCATCAGTATTCTTCCTGTGTACTTTAAACATACAGGACATATATTCTTTGGAATAAAGAAGAATTAGAGGCGACCTAGATACTGAAACATACGAGAATCTTGGGGGATAAAACAAAGAATTGTGGATGCCGGAGATCTGAAAGAAAAGCAGAAATCGTTTGAGAAACTCAGCAGGTCTGACAGCATTGTGGAGAGAAAGCAGAGTTAAGAACTGCATCTCGTTTTCTGCTTGGGGGACCCTGCAGTCTTCAGTACTCCATATTGAGATCATTAATTTTAGGGCCTGAACTACCTCCTTCCATGTCCTTTACCCACCCACACCCCAGGCCCTGACGTGGACTGGTTTCAGCACAGCCTGTCTATTTTCATCTAGTCATTGTCCACTTTATCAGGTAATCTTTCTCCCTGGCTAACTATCATCTATTGCTTTGTCATCCTCTCTCTCTCTCTGGGCTCCATCTCTTCCTATCTTCTCACTCCTTGCACCCTCGATCCCCATCTTTGGCGTATCTACCACCACCTTGTAAAAGCTACTATCCCTTCCGAAGAAGGGTCAATGAACTCGGAATACCAACTGTCCCCACAGATGCTGGCAAACCTGCTGAGATGCTTCGGCGGGGGGACACGATGTGGAAAGATTGTTTCCCCCTTGTGGAAGCTTCCAGAACCAGAGGGCATCATCTTCAGACTAGGGGATCATCCATTTAAGACAGAGATGAGGAGGAATTTCTTCTCTCAGAAGGTAGTGAATCTGTGGAATTCTTTACTGCAGAGGCTGGGTTATTAAGGGATTACAAGGTTATAGGGAAAAGCAGGAAAGTGGAGTCGAGGATTATTGGATCAGGCATAATCTCATTGAATGGCAGAGCACATTTGATGGGCTGAATGGCCTACTTCTGCTCCTATGACTCACGCATTGATGGCAGTCCAGCTGAGGGTGGAGTTCTCAATCTCCTTGGACAGCAGACTGGGATCTAGGGACGAACGGACCACTATGTTTTATTCTTCATTTTTTTGTGCCCCTTCCGTCCCCCTCTCAACACCCCACCCACAGCTCGCGCAGGCGGTCTTCGATCTGAGCAAACAGCGCAAACACAGAGAAGTGGAACTCGAGGTCAGTCAGAACAGGTGAGAATGTTTTCTGCATTTCTGTGGGGAAGCCTGAGAGGTGACAGACACATGTGACAAGTCTGTAAATCAGGCTATAATCATAGACAGCAGGCAGGAGTGCGGAGCAAGGGAGACAGACACAGAAAAATGTGGCATTAAAAGATCAACCGCCCCCCCACTTAAAGCTGACGCTCCCCTGTGAACCACCGAGGGAGCGCCGCACTGTCGGAGGGTCAGTGCCGAGGGAGCGCCGCACTGTCGGAGGGTCAGTGCCGAGGGAGCGCTGCCCTGTATAGCTTGTTAGCTACTTGAGGCTTGTTTAGTACGACCAGGAAATGGTTGTTCCCTCACTCTTGGGCAGGTGGATCCTGTAAAACCCTAAATGGGGGAAGTAAGCTGGTTCAGAGTGAGGGTCCAGTCTCCTGTGTCGCTGTGTGTAAAACAGCATGGAGCAGGGCAGGTCCCCTCCCACCAGCTGCTCTGGCCTACATTTCATTTTTGTTCACCATTGTTGGAAAGATGATCACATGGCTCAGGTGTAAAAGGATGTCAGTGTTTTCATGCATATTTTGTGAGGGCGAGGAGTTGTGAAAAGTGCAATACAAATTCTTTCTTTCTCACTTCCTTGTTCTTTTTCTCCATTTCCCTCCACATACTCTTTCTCTATATTTCTCTCCAGCTTTCTTTCTCTGTCTGTTTTGCTATCCTCCCCTTCCTGTCCATCTCTCTCTCTCTCTCTTGCTGTTTCTCCCTCTGTCTCTCTCTTCTCTCGCCACCTCTGGCTCTCCCCACAACTTGCTCATTTACTTTCCCATTTCTTTCTCCCTGTTTCTCTGTCTGTGTAATTCTGGCTCCCTGTGCCTTTCTCTCTCTCTCTCTCTCTCTCCCTCTTTCTCTTTTTCTCTTCTCTCCCTTTTCACTCCCTTTTTTTATTTCTCTTCCTGTGTTCCTTTTTACTCTGTCTTTTATCTTTCCCACTGTCTCTTTCTCTCTCTCTCTTTTCCCCTTCTCTCTCCTTCTCTGTCTGTCCATTTTTCTCCCTGTCCTTTCTGTTTCTCTATCTCTTTTTTTTTTATTTATGTATGTATCTCCCTCGCTGCAGACATTTCCCTCGCCACAGACATCTCCCTCGCTCTCTCTCACTTCTCCTGCCTTCTCTCTTCCTCCCTATCCTCTTTCCCTCTTTTCCTGCCTGTTTCTTTCTGCTTTTCGTAGTGGGTGGGTATTTCGGTGCCTGGGCACAGAGGGTGACCATTCTGATGTTCTTTTCAATAACTGTCCACACTGTATCTAGGTTGGTGGAGCTGGAGGTGAAGCTGTCTGAGTTGGAGGGAGAGCGGGACCGATTGCTAGCACGATTCGAAGAGGTGGAGGAAGCCAATGGCAGGCTCAAAAAGGAGTATGACAGCCTTCAGCAGCTTTACCGTTCACAGTGGGAACAACTCCTGAAGCAGGAGGTGGAGGGAACAGAACTGATTCAGAGCATGATCGACATCAAGGCTCAAGCAGCGAGAGATCTCAATTATCGGAATGAGAAGCCAAAGAGGTAACGGGGCCGAACCACTGAGTGACTCAGAAAACAGACAAACATAACAGGAGATACCATTCATTCCATCATCACCCACTGGCAGCTATGTACACAGCACAGGGTTAGATAAAGAGTAAAGATCCCTCTGCACCATCCCCATCAAACACTCCCAGGACAGAGACAGCATGGGCTTAGACACAGGGTAAAGCTCTCCCTACACCATTCACCATCAAACACTCCCAGGACAGGGACAGCATGGGGTTAGATACAGAGTAAAGCTACCTCTACACTGTCCTCCCATCAAACACTCCCCCAGGACAGGGACAGTACAGGGCTAGAGACAGAGTAAAGCTCCCTCTAGACTTTCCCTGTCAAACACTGTTCCTCTGCATGATTTTGCGTCTTTTTGAAAAATCGGGTGTTGTGTTTGTATGGATTACTTGCAAAAAGATCATTTTGCAGCACTGGGATCTGTTGATCATTCTTTGTCTTTCTCAGGGTCAAGGAGAAGAATTTGGAGAAGGACTTGGCCATTGTTTCCCGTGTCCCCATCTCCTTAGACACGTGAGTTTTATGGAAGGGGACTGTGTGTCTCTTCCATCCACCGTATGACTGTATTTACAGTGCTCTGCATCTCTGAATAGGCTGGAACACAGAGATGGCCATTTGGCCCATCATACCTATGTCTGCTATTCAAAAGTACTCTCTGATTCCCTGCTCTTTCCCTCCAACTTTGTTCTATTTTCCTTTGCAATAACTTTTGGAAGGTTAGGTCCTCAAATAGGCAGGATGTGACCAGTGGTGTCTCACTAGCATCTTGTTAGGGCCTCAGTTTAATTACATTATTTATTAATGATTTGGAGAATGGCATAGAAAGGCATATATCCAAATTTGCTGATGACGTTGGTTTGGTGGCATTGTAGACATTGTAGATGATGACATAAAATTGGAAAGGGATATTGATAGACTAAGTGAATGTGCAAAACTGTGGCAGATGGAGTTCACGATAAGTAAGAGTGAGGTTATCCATCTTGGACCAAAAAACAGGCAGATCGGCTCCATTCTGACTGAACTGTGTAGGTTTCCTCCAGATGTTCCGTTTTCCTCCCACAGTCCAAAGATGTGCAGGTTAGATGGATTGGCCATGCTAAATTGCCCATAGTGTTCAAGGGATGCTGAGATTAGGGGGGGTTAAAGGGGGTTGGGTCTGGGTGGGATGGTCGGTGTGGACTTGTTGGGCCGAAGGGCCTGTTTCCACACTATAGGGATTCTATGATCTATGAACCCTGCTCTACGTTTCATTTTTTTTTCTGAAGAAGGGTCTAGGCCCGAAACGTCAGCCTTCCTGCTCCTCTGATGCTGCTTGGCCTGCTGTATTCATCCAGCTCTACACCTTGTTATCTCAGATTCTCCAGCATCAGCAGTTCCTACTATCTCTTAGCACATTTGGGCTCACTCTGTGTTTTATTTGCGCTAGATTCAACGCATATTCATAAACTGAACCTTTACATCCAGGTCCTAATGGGTGCAGGATGAAAAACTTGATGTTGTAACTTTTGCTCAGAAATCTTTACGTAATATGTTAACCATTTTCTTCCCAATAATACTGCCCCTAATGATTTAATTGAGAGTTAATTGATTCTGTACAGTTCCTGATTAGGCCGCTTAACAAACTCTCCTTTAATTTTCAGAGAAGTCTTTCACCCAGTTCAGAAACTGTCACCCGAGGCAGTTAGTCACCAGGAGACCAAGATCTTCAAACCATTTCAGAGTTTTAGGTAAGCCCGAGATCTTTCTCTGTGTTTTTCAGCCAATCCCGTCAGAGGGTGGGGTCAGGAGAAGTGCCCTGGCTCGATGTTGATTGAGACTATGGTCTGAGCTGGTTCGGTTCTGGCGATCGAGAGTTTGGGAGGGAGAAGGATGGATTTGATTTCTAATTTTCGATGTAAGAACAAGGAGCTGGAGAGAGCCACTTGATCTTTCAGCTCTCTTCTGCATCTCAGAGTGATCCCAGCGAATGCACAACCTGAACCTTAACTTGTTAATCTCTCTTAATGTTTCAGAATCTATAAATGAGGTGGATTAGTGTTATTTTACTGGATTAGTAATCCAGGACCCCATGGGGACATGGGTTCAAATCCCACTGTGGCAGATTATAGAATTGTAGAATCCCGACAGTGTGGAAGCATGCCATTCAGCCCATCGAGTCAACACCAACCCTCTGAAGAGCATCTCATCCAGTCCCACATCTCTATCCTTATCGCCCTGCATTTCCCATGGCTAATTCACCCAGCCTGCACATCCCTGGATACTATGGGGCAATTTAGCATGGCCAATCCCCCTAACCCCCACATCTCTGGATTGTGGGAGGAAACCAGAGTACCCGGCGGAAATCCACGCAGACACGGGGAGAATGTGCAAACTCCACACAGACAGTCCCCCGAGGTTGGAATTGAACCTGGGTCCCTGGCGCTGTGAGGCAGCAGTGAGCCACCGTGCCGCCCAATGGTTACAATTTGACTTCAATACAAGTCTGGAATACAACTCTAGTCAAATAGACGACCTTGTAACCACTGTCAATTGTTGTCAAAACCCATCTGGTTCCCTAATATCCCTTAGGGGTGGAAATCTTCCATCCCTCCTTGATCTGGCCTACACGTGACTCCAGACCCGCAGCAATGGGCTTGACTCTTAACTGCCCAACAGGTAATAAATCCTGCCTTAGCCAGCGATGCCCACGTTGTCTGAGGGAATAAAAGGAAATGAATATCTGAGCTTCGAAGCCCTTTGGGCTGAAGGATTCCAAAGATTTATCATTTTCTGACTGAAGGTGTTCCTGCTTCACCTCAGTCCCGAAGAAACAGACCCTTAACCCTCAGACTAGGCCTCCGTGTTCTACACCCTCAGGGTAGGGAAGTAGCCTCTCGGGATTGACCCTGTTCCAAATCCCAAAGAATTTGATGACATGCATTGCAATCATGTCTCCTTTTTCTAAACTCAGGGGAACACATGAGTTATTCTACTCTCTGTTGTCTGTCCCTATGTGGGTCTGGGATCAGTTGACATCAACCCCTTCCTAGCGGCACACACATGGAGGCTCTTATTGAAATGGGAGCTCACTTTGCTCCCGGAGAGTCACCATTAGAGGTAGGAGCAGAAGTGGGCCATTTAGCCCATCCAGCCTGCTGTGCCATTCAATGTGATCATGGCTGATCTGATAATCCTCAACTCCACTTTCCTACCTTTTCCCCACAACCCTTGATTCTCTTCCTGATTTAAAAAAGTAATCTGTCTCTCTCAGCCTTGAATTTACTTAGTGACCCAGCCTTAACAGCCCTCTGCAGTAAAGAGTTCCACAGATTCACTCCCCTTGAGAGAAGAAATTCCTCCACATCTCTGCCTTAAATGTGCGACCTCTTATTCTGAGATGATGCTGTCTGGTCCAAGATTCTCCCCCAAGGGCAACAACCTTTCTACATCTCCCCTGTCACATCTTCTAAGAATCTTGTATGTTTCAATGAGGTCACCTCTCAATTCTTCTAAATCTCAATAAGTACAGGCCCAATCGACTGAACCTCTCCTCATAAGACGATCCCTCCACACCTGGCATCAGCCTATGAACCTTCTCCGGGCTGCCTCCAAAGTTAATCCCAATCTTTCCCTGTATAAGAGAATCAATACTGTTCACATTTGTTGGAGGTTTAGTCTGAAGCGTGTTTAGAATGAGTGAAGAAGGGTCCCGACCGGAAACATCAGCTTTCCTGCTCCTCTGATGCTGCCTGGCCTGCTGTGTTCCTCCAGCTCCACACTGTGTTATCTCTGACTCCAGCATTGGCAGTTCTTACTATCTTTTAGAACGAGTGAGTTGTGTTTCTGTGCAAAAATTATAAAATGTAGTCACTTCACCCTTAGTGGCCACCTAGCATCATTTTTTGAACAAAAACAGAAGTTGCTAGAAAAGCTCAGCAGGTCTGGCAGCATCTGTGAAGAAAATAATCAGAGTTAACGTTTCAAGTCCGGTGACCCAGAACTCATTTTTCATTTTTATAAAGTTCATTTTTGAGCATCTACTTTGAGTGAAGTCTATGGCGAAAGTTAGGAGTATGATATACTGACTGGGTGTGTCAGTCAGGAGCAAGGTTGAGGGGCAGTAGGGCCACCCCCTGTTCCTCACTTTCTCTATTATCCCAGCTGGAGTCATAGAGATCTTTTAAGTGAGGTTCTTGATATTTTTATGTCTTTTGCCAAGATGTAGGCCACGTAGTAAGATCATGTCCAGGTTGTTGATAGAAGATAGTTCACTCTCTTTTCAGTGAATATGGAGACTTTTATTAATAGGGAGAGGGGGAACAAAAATCTGTGAAACCCTGTCCCATCTTTTCCCAAGTCCATGTGATCTGACATTAGCAGTATAGCTCCTTAAGCAGAGTCCAGTAGCTATTATTAGAATAAAGGTCTGGCCTAGATGTGACTCCAGACCCACAGCAATGTGGTTGACTCTTAACTACCCTCTGAGCAATTAAGGATGGGCAATAAATGCAGGCCCAGCCAGAGAGGCCCACATTCCTTGAATGGATCCGTATAGCTCACAGGTAAGGCCAGCAATATTCCTAACTGCCCATTGAGAATGATAGAATCATACACTGCAGAAGAGGTCCTTTGGCCCATCAAATCTGTACTGCCAAAGCTATGCTAAATTGATGAATGTCAAGCAGGAGATGTGTTGCCGTGGAATTGTGTTTCCCACTCCATCCGGCTGGTTACATCATGAAGACGTGTTGCAGAAACTTTGACTATGAGATCCTTGATTGGGGTTGTTAGCCTGGGCAAATCAGGGAGCCCTGGCTGACAGATAGAAACAGGAGATTCAGAGAGTCTCCTCAACAGCATCTTGATCAAATGGGTCAATGGGCTGAAAAATGGCAGATATAATTCCATCAGGATGAATGCGAGGTATTGCATTTTGGTACAACAGACAAGGATAGGGCTTATACGATTAATGATAGGGCCTTGGGTTGTGCTGTAGAACAGAGGGACCTAGGGGTTCAAGTACAGGTTGTTCTCCTATAATGCTATAGTTGCAATTGTGTGTGAACTCGCACTATAGAAAATCGCCATAGAAAATTGTGATATTGGGAAATTGCTGTCGAAAATCACTATAGCTGTACAGCAGAAAGTTTGCGTTATCCAAACAGTGTCCACTATTCATCAGTCAGCTTGCAGCAAATTCATGTTAACAAAACACATGTTATAGCAGAACTACTTGCACATAATTCTTTGAAGTTTCCATCACACATGGACAGGGTGGTTAAAAAGGTGTTAAACACACTTGCCTTCATTGCTCAGTTGTTTAGGAGTTGGGAAATCATGTTAATGTAGTACAGGGCATTGGTGAGACTTCTTCTGGAATACTGTCTCCAGTTCTGGCCACCCTGTTATAAGAAGGATATTATTAAACTGGAGAGGGTTCAGAAGAGATTTACCCGGATGTTGCTGGGTATGGAAGGTTTGAGTTATAAAGAAAGGCTGGATAGGCTGGGATGTTTTTCGCTGGAGCACAGGAGGTTGAGAGGTGACCTTATAGAAGTTTATAAAATAATGAGGAGCATAGGTAAGGTTAATAGTCGGTGTCTTTTCCCTGGGAAAGGGGATTTCAAGAATAATGGGCACGTTTTTAAGGTGAGGGGAGAGAGATTTAGTAAAGACATGAGCAAATTTTTTACACAGAAGATAGTTTGTGTGTGAAATGAACTTCCTGAGGAAGTTGTGGATGTGGGTACAATTACAATGTTTAATAGACATTTGGATAAGTACATGAATAGGAAAGGTTTGGAGGGATTATGGCCCAGGAGCAGGCAGGTGGCACTAGTTTAGTTTGCGATTATGTTCGGCATGAACCGGTTGGACCGAAGGGTCTGTTTCTGTGCTGTATGGCTGGCTCTGAGCTGGCTGGTCAGAACACGTGAGTTGCACCTGTGTAAATAAACAGTAACTCGGTGACACGATACCGGCCCCTGTGCAGTTATTTCACACACCCTCGAGTTTAGAAGGTCGAAGGGTGATGAGGGCAAAGTGTTTAAGTTGGTTTATAGGTTTCAAAGGGCTGGTAAAATGATATTCTCATGGCAGAGAGTGGGGCTTGCGGAAATCCAGGACTGGGGAAGGTGTGCAGAACCCCAAATTAGAACCAGACTGCTCAGGAGTGGCAGCTGGAAGCAATCCTTCAGTCAAAGGCCGATGGAAATCTGAAAGTGGATTCCCCACCAATATACTGTAGACGCTGGTGATCGATTAAGGCTTTCCTGAATGACTTCAGTAGATTTCTTTTGTGTGTGGGGTGAAAGGGGTGCTGTGGAAGGTGGAGGTAAGGTGTGCCATTAGATACTGACCTTGAATGACCACCTCCCTTGCTATCTCCTGCGCGTGATGGGGACATGATGGAGAAGGCTGAGGGGGGAAACCTGATGGAGGTGTGTAAGATTATGAGGGTGAGTAGAGAACAGCTGTTCCCCTTGGCTTAGGAGTCAATCAGGGCATAGTCTTAGAGTAAGTGCAAGGAAATTCAGAGGGGATTTGGGAAAAAAAAACCTTTTCACTCGGGACGGTGGGAATCTGGAATGCACTGCCTGGGATGGTACTGGAGGCCAGAAACCTTACAACCTTTTTTTAAAAAAAAAAAAATTGGATGAGCATTTCAAATAACATCACATTCAAGGGACAAGTGCAGGAAATTGGGATTGGTGCTCCTTATGTCAGTACAGACTCAATGGGCCAAAGGGCCTTTTCTGCGCTGTATGACTCTGACATCTGGTGGATTGGGTCTGGAATCTGGCCGGAGGGATCGGGTATGGGTACAAAGGGCTTTGGATGCTGGTCCCCTGGTCAGAACCTCGGTATGCCTTTGTCACCAAAGGAATGACCCGTAGAAACAGAACCGGTCTGCGAGGAGAACAGCTCTGGGGTGGCCAAACCTAAAATTAGGTCAACTGACTGTTGGACTAAAGCGATCAAAGGGTATGGGGAGAAAGCAGTGGGAACAGGGGAATGAGTTGGACAATCTTATTGAATGACGGAGCAGGCTCGAAGGGCTGAATGGCCTACTCTTGCTCCTATTTTCTGTGTTTGTCAACATTTCCAAAGAGGGCCCCTGGTAGTATGGGAATATGTTGACGTGATGCCCAAGAGGACGCTAATGATAATGGGAGGTCAGCTTTCCCCTGTCAAATGTAGTCCGCTGGGTGTCAATATTCACAAGCAGCCCTAAGAAATGTGTCACAACAACATAAACAGAAGTTGCCGGAAAAGCTCAGCAAGTCTGTGAAGAAAAAGTGAGAGTTAATGTTTCGGATCTGATGACCCTTCCTCAGAACTGATGGTAGCTGGGAAAACATCGTTTTATATGCAGAAAATAGGGAAGGGTTTGGGGTAGGGAGTGAAGGATAGAGCCTGAAGAGAGAGAAGAGCAGTTGGACAGATAAAGGAGTTGATAAAGATCTGTCTAGGAGGGTGAATAGTTGTTAATGGAGACTGTTAGTGACTAACAATAGGTAGTGTATAATGGCAGGCTATGTGATAACAAGAAATGTGTTGACATTTGCAAAGCTACCTGGAATTCTGCCATTAAGATCAAGACTTTGGAGGCATTGATTTGACACATGTACCCCTGGATATCTTGACGCTGGGCCATGTGACTTGAAAACTGGATCCTTTCAGTTGGCTGCCAAGTAGAACTCCTTGATGGAGGAGTTTGACTGTTCATGCCCCTTGAAGCATCAGCCGCCATCACTAAAAGCACCATTCATCAGCTGCAAACCTTCCTTTTTTGTTTTGTTTTTATTTAGGTCAAGTTCTTTAAGCCTCCCACCCCACCCCAGACTCTTCCAGTCCTTTAAAGACCTTTTCAGGTAAGTTATGTGTTTTGCCATATTGAAAGCTCCTGGGCAGCTGGCTTCCAGTTTTCTAATCTATCTGTCGCTCCTTTCTGCTTGCTGCACCATCTGCTTTCTGGTCCGGGAGGAGCACGGGGTAGATATCGGTTTTTGTGCCCTGTCTGTGATAACTGGGACACTTGGAGCTGGGCACAAGTGCAGTTGTGAAATTGTTCATGATATTTGTCCATCTAACTCCAACCTTTAAGCCTTCCCTCAGCCAACTGCCACTGTAACTTGAGATATGACCCCAAGCTTTCTCCATCTAGAATCCAAAGTACAGGGAATAAAGGAGTACGGTGAGGTGTACAAAGTTGCCATTCCTGGCACCATCTTAGAATCCCTACAGTGTGGAAACCGGCTATTCGGCTCATCCAGTTCACGCTGACCTGCCAAAGAGCGTCCCACCCAGACCAACCCCTTACCCTTTCTCTGAAACCCTGCATTTCCCATGGCTAACCCACCTAGTTTGCACATCCCTGGACACGATGGGCAATTTCCAATGGCCAATCCACCTAACCTGCACATCTTTGTGACTGTGGGAGGAAACCAGAGCACCCGGAGGAAACCTATGCAGACACGGGGAGAATGTGCAAACTCCGCACAGACAGTTGCCTGAGGCTGGAATTGAACCTGGGTCCTTGGCGCTGAGAGGCAGCAGTGCTAACCACTGAGCCGATGTGTTGCCCTAAAGTGCCATCCTGAAGTGTCTCTATGTAGATTTGACTCGCGCTGAGATATGACGCAGCATTTACCCCTCATGAGTGGCCATTCGGCCTGAGTGGTCTGTGCCAGTGATTATGTCAGATATGATTCTCCTCCCACCTTCTTCGTCTCATTCCATCACCATATTCCTCTCTCCTTCCTCCCTTGCATATAAATCGAATTTCTCCGCAAACACATCTTCACTATTCAACTCGAACACTCCCTGTAATAGGGAGCTCCACATTCCGAACACTCTCTGAGCAAAGAGATTTCTCTTGGATCTATCATTGACCACTTTATTTTCAGGACACCTAGTTTCTGACTCTCCGAGTCCTCTGAACATCTGTTTGATCGAACCCTTTTCGGTTTTGAAGAAATCCATCTCTGCCTTCTCTTTTGAAGAGACAGAAACCACTTTCTGTTCCATCTTTCCTGATGGTTGGAACCTCTCAGTTCTGGCAACTTTCTAAATCTGTTTCCTTCTCCAGTGTCTCTCTGTCTTTTGCGTCATTTGAAAACCATGAGGTTGTACACATTACTCCAATTGTTAGCTGGCAAAGATTCTGTACACGTTTACCGTCTCTGCTTTGGAATTCTAGTTGCCTGGAATTGTGACCCTGATGCTTTGTTTTCTGGATTGTAATCAGCTTGCTGTCCAATTCTGATGCTTGTTCCATGCCCCACATTCTTTGACCTGTGCCATGTGTCTATTATACAGCCCCTTATCAATGGCCTTTTGAAAATCCAAATATATTACTTCTACTGTGTCACCTTTCTCGACGTTCATTGACTTCCTTGAAGAGATAGCACAAAATTTGGTCAAGTGGGACCTCTTTGGAAATCCCCACTGGCTACTCTGTAGTTCCACAGCTAACTTCTGTTCCCTTCCCCAGGTGGACAGTCTGTCAACTCTGTTATTTGATGAATAGACCCAATCCATCCCGCATCTAATCCCAGCCCAAACACAGCTTCCAAAAGGGTCAGGATCTGAAATGGAAATCTAGGTGGATTTAATGAATCATTCCCATCCCTCTCTGAAGGAGACTCTTCACGCTGCCGTCTCTTTAGCAAAATAGTACATTTTGGTGGCAAGGAGGAAAGGCGGTACAACTTAAAATGGTACCATAGTCAGAGAGAGAGAGAAGGACTGGGTGGACGTCTGGTGCATGTGTGCCAAGCTGGAAGGTAAACCCGGGAGGGATGTTTAAAAATACAGACTGCATCCTGGCTCTGTCTTGAGGAGAGATTTCTTCCTCCCCCAGGGAGCTGAGAGGTTATGGAATTCTCTACAACAGAAAGTGGCTGAGGCCAAAGCACTGAATGTTTTCTATAGCATCCCTACAGTGTGGAAGTAGGTCACTTGGCCCATCAAGTCAACACTGACCCTCTGAAGAGCTTCCCACCCCCTGCCATATCCCTGTAACCTTACATTTACTGTGGCTGTTTACTTCGCCTGCAAATCTCTGGACACTATGTGGCAATTTACCACGACCAAACCAGCACATTTTTGGAATGAGGGTGGAAATCAGAGCACCCAGGGGAAACCCCATGCAGATGTGGGGAAAATGTGCAAACTCCACACAGACAGAGGCTAGAATCGAACGTAGGTCCTTACTGCTGTGAGGCTGTCGTGCTAACCACTGAGCCACAGCCATTTTCAGGAAGGAGTTAGGTATAGTGTCTAGGGCTAAAGGGTTCAAAGGATATGGGGGAGAAAGTGGGAACAGGGGACTGAGATGGATGAGCAGTCATGATCATATTGAATGGCAGAGCAGGCTCAAAGGGCTGAATGGCCTCCTCCGGTTCTTATGTTCTATGTTTCTGTATCTTTAGAGGCATAGTGTATGATAAAACTTTATATATTTGTGGTTCGGTTCCAGTCTGAATACTGGGTCCAATACTGAGCACCACATTCTAAGAAGGATACTCATCAAGTTTTGATCCCAAACCAATCAAGTCTGAAAATAGACACTAATACCTTCCTTGATATTCAGTTTAGTGATGGAATGCTGCAATATGTATGTCTACACCCATTCCTTCCATTTTCCCTTGCTCCCACCCATCCAGCAGTGTCTCTCTCTCTTTCTCTGTCTATACATATTTGCTAATCAACCTATTTACAGATGTTCTGACACACCTCTGGAACAAGTGGGATTTGATCGTGGGCCTCCTGGTTCACAGATGGGGACACTACCGCCGCACAACAACGGCCCCTTCTGTCTTTCTAATTACTTAATGAAAGAATGCTCTTAAACTTGTCTATCTTATCCATGTCAGAAATATTATAATTAACAGCCAAAGGCTTTGAGAGGGTACAGAGGAGATTTTTAAGATTGAGGGGGAGGAGGGGAAAGATCAATGATATGGTTGAAAGGGGCTCTTGTGGCACAATGGGTAGTGTCCCTGCCTCTAGACGGAGTGACCTGGGTTCAAGTCCCACCTACTCCAGAGGTGTATCATCGCATCTCTGATCAGAAGGGAGATTGTTCTCGCTGGGTGGACAGTGAAGGCAAAATTTCCAGAGCTTTGATAGAGGAAATCAGGGACTGGTGGAGGGTGTGTGGAGGAGACAGGTGATTGGCCAAAGAAGCAGGGGAGAGCTGAGGTTCTACAATGGATAGTGACCTGGAACTCAAGGCATGGTCAAAGCAAATTCAATCACAACTTTCAAAAGCAAATTTACAGAAATTAATTCAAGGCTATGTCTCACCACCGCCTTCCCCAGGGTAATTCGGGATGGGCAACAAATGCTGGCCTAGCCAGCAACACTCACAGTCTGTGAATGAATAAATTTAAGGAAAACCTTTTAAAGGAAAAATAAAAAGAACATGAGAAAAAAATTTGGAAGTCTGATTCACTGGACAGCTCATTCAATGAGCTAGCATGGGCATGAGGGATCAAATGGTCTTTTATTGTCACTGTATAATAAAACACTTAGATCATAGAATCCCTACAGTGTGGAAACAGGCTCTTTGGCCCAACAAGTCCACGCTGACCCTCAGAGCATCCCACCCAGAGCCATCCACCTAAGCTACACATCACTGAACGCTATGGGCAATTTAGCACAGCCAATCCACCCTAACCTGCACATCTTTGGACTGTAGGAGGAAACCAGAGCACCCGGAGGAAGCCCACACAGACAGTCACCTGAGGGTGGAATTGAACCCAGGTCCCTGGCGCTGTGAGGCAGCAGTGCTAACCACTGAGCCACCATGCCACCCCACTTGCTCAGATTATCGAAAACTGCACACAGCCGGGACAGAAGTTGGCCTCTAGCTGTTGGCCTCTAGCCCTGATATCTCCTTATATAGCTCAGTGTCAATTTTTCTCTGATAAACGCACCGAGTGATTAGTCTTGGGATGTTTCACTGCCTGAAAGGCATTATTTAAATGCACATTTTTTTTTTGTAATTCATTCAGGCAAGAACCTGCCTCTAAGTGTGCTGACCAGTTCCTGGGGTTAGCTTAAATTGCAACAGCCGTGAAACTGACTCGTACACACCAGCTAAATCCCAACTTCTGTTCCCTTTTCTCTACCCTGCTTGTTACTCTTCAAATAATTCCAATAAATTTATCAGCCATCATTTCCCCTTCAGGAAGCCATGCTGACTCTTCGTGATCATAATGTAAGACCATAAGACATAGGAACAGAAATTAGGCCATTCGGCCCATCGAGTCTGCTCTGCCTTTCAATCATGGCTGATAAGTTTCTCAACCCCATTCTCTCCCACTTTTTCCCCGTAACCCTTGATCCCCTTGACAATCAAGAACCTATCTATCTTCGTCTTACATACACTCCGTGACCTGGCCTCCACAGCCTTGTGTGGCAATGAATTCCATAGATTCACCACCCTCTGGCTGAAGAAGTTTCTCCTTATCTCTGTTCTAAAAGGTCTCCCTTTTACTCTAAGGCTGTGCCCTTGAGTCCTAGTCTCTCCTGCTAACGGAAACGTCTCCCAAACATCCACTCTGTCCAGGCCGTTCAGTATTCTGTAAGTTTCAATTAGATCCCCTCTCATCCTTCTAAACTCCAATGAGTACAGACCCAGAGTCCTCAAAACTTCCTCATATGTTAAGCTTTTCATTCCTGGGATCATTCTCGTGAACCTCCTCTGAACCCGCTCCAGGGCCAGTATATCCTTCCTGAGGTATGGGGCCCAAAGTTGCTCACAATAGTCTAAATGTGGTCTGACCAGATCCTTTTAAAGCCTCAGAAATACATCCCTGCTTTTATTTTCTAGTTCTCTCAAAATAAATGTCAATGTTGTATTTGCCTTCCTAACTACCAACTCAACCTGCGAGTTTACCTTAAGTGAATCCTGGACTAGAATTTCCAAGTTCCTTTGCATTTCAAACTTCTGAATTTTCTCCCCATTTAGAAAATAGTCTATGCCTCCATTCTTCCTACCAAAGTGCATGACCTGACACTTTCCCATGTTATATTCCGTGTATTATGTATATTAAATGCTCTGCTGTTCCAACCTTTATGATTGACCAACACTTTTCCAAAAACAGACATAGGGTTGCAGTCATACAGCACGGAAACAGACCCTTCGGTCCAACTCGTCCATGCTGACTGGATATCCCAATCTGACCTAGTCCCATCAACCAGCATTTGGCCCATATCCCTCTGAACCCTTCCTATTCATATACCCATCCAGATGCCTTTTAAATGTTGTAATTGTACCAGCCTCCACCACTTCCTCTGGCTGCTCATTCCATACACGCACCGCCCTCTGCATGAAAACGTTGCCCCTTAGGTCCCTTCTAAATCTTTCCTCTCTTTCCTTAAACCTATGCCCTCTAGTTTTGGACTCCCCTACCCTAGGAAAAAGACCTTGACTATTCACCCTATCCATGCCCCACAGGATTTTATAAACCTTTCTCATTTCACCTCACAGCGTCCGACGCTCCAGGGAAAATAAGGCCCCAGCTTTCAGACATCCTTTATAACACAAACCCTCCAGTTCTACCAACATTATTGTAGATCTTTTCTGAAATATTTCAAGTTTATGATGTTAACTGGCCTTATTTATGTGTCTCCTTCGCTTTTAAAATAAGGGCAGATTTTTTTCTCATATTCTGGGACTTTAGATTACTACCAGTACATCCACTATCTCTGCAGTAGTTTTTTTTAAAAATTTGCTGGTTAGGCCAACATTTAATGCCCAAAGGACAGTTAAGAGGTAGCATTGCTGGGGGTGTGGAGTCTCATGTAGACCAGACCAGGTAAGGATGGGCCAATTTCCTTCACTAAAGGACATTATTGAACGAGGGATGTTTTTTTCCAACAGATGGCACTGGTTTCATAGTCATCATTAAACACTAAAAGATCATAAGAAATCGGAACAGAAGCAAGCCTTTCAGCCTCTCAAGCATGTTCCTCCATTCAATAGGATCATGGCTGATCCGACAGTGCTCACATCTACTTTCCTGCCCTTTCCCATGACCCTTGATCAAGAATTTATCTCAACCTTAAATATACAGAACGACTCTGTCCCCACAACTCTCTGTGGCAAGGAGTTCCAAAGACACTCGACCCTCTGAGAGAAGAAATTCCTCCTCATCTCTGTCTTAAAGCCATTTTAAGTATCCTGTATGTTTCAATGAGGTTACCTCTCATTCGTCTAAACTCCAGTGAGTAGAGTCCCAACCTGTCTAGCCTTTGCTCATGAGACAATCCCTCCCTACCAGGGATCATCCCAGTGAACATTCTCTGAACTGCCTCCAATGAAATGATATCATTCCTTAAACAAGGGGAACCAAAACTGTTCACAGTGCTCCAGATGTGGTCTCCCCAGCACCTTGTACAGTTGCAGTGAGACTTCCATAGTCTCGCACTCCAAACCCCCTGAAATAAGGGCCAACATTCCATTACCCTTCCTGATTACCTGCTGCCCCTGTGTTTCATGCACAAGTCCCCCTGAGTCCCTTTGTGTTGCAGTTTTCTCTCCATTTAAATAACACTCTGATCTTTTGTTCTCCCTTTCAAAATCAATGACTTAATATTTTCCCACATTATACTCCATTTATCAACTTCTTTGCCCATGTACTTACCTTGTCAACATCTCTGTAAACTGTTTGTATCCCTCTCACAAATTGCTTGTCCATTTATTTACATGTCGTCTGCAAATGTGACTATGGTATATTTGCTTTGCTCCTCCAAATCATCAATGTATACTGTAAGCAGTTGTGGACCCAGCACTGATCTCTGTGGAACCCCACTGGTTACAGGTTGTCAACCTGAAAAAGGTCCCTTACCTGCACTCACTCATTCCATAACAATTTTTCACAAGAAATTGTCCAAAATACATTCCATGGGATGGCACGGTGGCTCAGTGGTTAGCACTGCTGCTTCACGGCACCAGGGACACGCGTTCAATTCCAGCCTCGGCTGACTATCTGTGTGGAGTTTGCACGTTCTCCCAGTGGCTGTGTGGGTTTCCTTTGGGTGCCCTGGTTTCCTCCCAACATCCAAAGGTGTGCAGGTTAGGTGGATTGCCCATTGTGTTCAGGGATGAGCAGAGTAAGTGGGATAAGAAGCACTTCACCTGACGAAGGAGCAGCGCTCTGAAAGCTTGTGATTTCAAATAAACCTGTTGGACTATAACCTGGCACTGTGTGACTTCTGGCTTTCTTAATTACGAGGACTAAGACTGTACACAGTACTCCAAGTGTGGTCTCATTAACACCTTGTACAGTTGTAACAAGACTTCCCTATTTTTAAACACACCTCCTTGCCATAAGACCGCACTAGCAATTTCCTTCTGATTTATTTGCTTCTCCTGCATGCTAACTTATTGTGTTTCATGCACAAGATCATCCAAATCTCCCGTGCTGCATTTATTGGAGTCTCTCTCCATTTAAATAATTGTCTGACATTTAATTCTTCGAACAAAACTCACACTTTTCTACATTAAACTCCATTTGACAAGATTTTGCCCATTCACTCAACCTATCCATATCCTTTTGCAGATACCTTATGTTCTCCCTATTTTTATATGTATGGAAAATTTGGATACAAACTTTGCTCCTCAGTCCCCTCCTGCAAGTTATCGAAATGGTAAAAGTTTGAGGCCCTACAGGTCATCTTTCCAGTATTCCATTTGTTGCATGGTTTCAAGCCAAAAAGGACCTATTAATTCTGACTCTAACTTCTGTGTCTTAACTAAACCTCAGTCTGTGCTCAAACATCACCCCTAACACAGTGAGCTCGTAACCTGCGCAATAATTTTTTATGTGGTGCCTTCTCAAAGTCCTTCTGGAAATCCAAACACATGATGTCTACCAGTACCCCTTTATCAACTCTGCTTCTTATATCCTCAAAGAACTTGAATAAATGAGTCAAAATTGGTTTCTCTTTCACAAAATCATGTTGACAGTGTTCGATTATGTTACACTTTTCTAAATATCCTTTCACCCCCTTAATAATGGACTCTGAGAAAATGCAGGTGAAAAATGTTAAGCTAATTAGCTTACAGTTTTCTGCTTTCTATCTCCCTCCCTTCTTGAACTGACCTTATTGGAGGCAGTTCAGAGAAGGTTCACTGGGATGATCCCTGGTAGGGAGGGATTGTCTTATGAGCAAAGGTTAAACAGGTTGGGACTGTACTCACTGGAGTTTAGAAGAATGAGAGATGATCTCATTGAAACACGTTAAGGAGCTTGACAGGGTAAAAGCTGAGAGGATGTTTCCCCTCACTGGAGAGTCTGGGACCAGAGGCCATAGTCTCAGAATAAAGGGGCACCAATTTAAGACTGGGATGAGGAGGAATTTCTTCTCTCAGAAGGTTGAGAGTCTTTGGAACTCCTTGTCACAGAGAGCTGTGGGGGCAGAGTTATTGTGTATATTTAAGGCTAAGACAGATTCTTGATCAGTCGGGGAATCAAGGATTACAGGGAAAGGGCAGGAAAGTGGATGTGAGGAATGTCGGATCAGCCATGATCCTATTCAATGGTGGAGCAGGCTCGAGGGGCTGAATGGCCTTCCCCTGTTCTTATTTCCTGTGGTTTTATGGTTTTAGGGGTGTCACATTAGTGTTTTCCCAATTAGGTGATGGCCTAGCGGTATTTTTGCTGGACTGTTAATCCAGAGACCTAGATAATGTTCTGGAGACCTGGATTTAAATCCCATCACGGCAGATGGTGGAATTTGAACTCAATAAATATCTGGAATTAAGAATCTACATGATGACCATGAATCCATTATTGATTGTTGTAAAAACCCATCTGGTTCACTAATGTCCTTTAGGGAAGGAAACTGACATCCTTACCTGGTGTGGCCTACACGTGACTCCAGACCCACAGCAATGTGGTTTGAATCTGAACAGCCCTCTGGGCAATTAATGCTGCCTAACCAGCCACACCCTCATCCTGTGAATGAATAAAAAAAAATTTACTTGAACCCTCCCTAAATCCAGGTGATTTCTTACTGAATGTACTATAATGAACGTTGAGATGTCCATTACTTGTGAAAAGTGCTATATAAATGCAAGCCTTTATTCTTAAGGAATGCCTTAAAGGAGAGAGGTGGCAAGATTTAGAGAGGCAGTTCTCAGAAGGCTGATGATTCAAAGTACAAGCATTCCAACAATGCCTGTTGTGTTTTCTTATTCAACTTGGCCGTGAATTGACTCTGTAAATGAACAATATTGTGTTTCACTCTCTACATTACTGAAATGCCAAAGTGAATTCATTTGTCCGTTCAAAGGAAGCTACATGTTTCTGACTGGGTTCATTTATCCATCTTACTTATTTATTAATGTATGTTCAGCTGTTGTTGATAATCCCCTCATTTCCATGTCACTATTTACACTCTGTCTGTCTATACAATTCTGCCTACAAATGAGACAAACTGAATTCAGTCTTTCTTATGTGTGTGTCTGTGAGTGTGTGTCTGTGATTGTGAGAATGTGTGAGTGTGTGTCTGTGAGTGTTAGAGTGTGTGTGTGTGTGTGTGTGTGTGT